AACATAACTCACGTAATACACCTTTGTTGGTCTTTCAACGCATATGAACCAGACTTCACTAGTTCGATGTCAGATCGGTGAGATACTGGGATGCATTAAGAAGAGATTCCGGAGTACAGCCGGAAGGTGGTAACCTAAGTCACATGTTAACAGTCCAAAAGTATCCCAGACTTATTACGCCGAGGAAATGTCGCGTAGGATCGGCTTCCTGCTGTGTTAATTCTCACCACTTACTATATTAGAGCGTACGGGTCTTGGCGCCAATAAGTCGCGTTTGTCTTATAAAACAGCAATTATAGAGACGTTTAAGATGTGCTTCAGAAGCATGAAATTTGGAATGCATTTTGCGCAGAAAGTGGTCGTGAAGTTCTTCTTGTCACATTGAGTATTAATTGGTGAACGAAAATATGAAAGATGCGGTGAGCAATCATCAGGCGGTGAAGAAAAAACACGAAAGGACTCCTAACCATTATTTAATACACGGTTCACTTTTTCAATAAGATTGAGCGTTTTCATATTAAGGGCTCTCATGGGGTCTGCCTCACGGTCATTGTCGCTTCGCGTTGGATGACGAGAAACTTCAGTGATGATCTCGCGTTCGAGTCCATTAATTTCTGAGATAGGACCTAAGTCGACGGTCCTGTCACATAGCTGACCGTTTACTGCCATAAGTCGACCACGCAACTCAGAAAGTTCCTTAACAGCATCGAATCCTGCGCATAATCCCTTATCAAAAACCTTCTGTAGTTGGCTTTCAAATCCCGCATAAATGCCTTCACGTTCACCGCTCAAAGCAATTGTTCTAACGTTTCTTTGCCATTCAAGGTCCGCCAGTTCCAATTCCATTGATTTGAAACTCTTCGCCGTGTCAAAAACATCATCCATACGCACAGGTTGAATGGACTCAGAAGGAAGAAACCGCAGCTGTTTGTGAACACGAACTTTACGTGTAAATGCGGCAGCCTTGAATGCAGTGTACCTGAAGTTAAATTTTATCTTCGGAGATTGAAATTACAACACAACTGCAAAGTTTCTTACTGAAAAGTCTAAATAAGAAGGGTATATATAAGTTTATTGGTAAAATGGAGGCTGGTAAAATTTGTTATACAAAAGTTCGATTCACTTAGCTCGTCACTGTCCAAAATAAGAATATCTCGAAAAACGGAACACTCGTTAAGATACGTCTGTCTTCAATCGTTTGTTGATCCATGCACGGAATGTAGCCGGCGGCTTATTTTGCCGTGGTAACCTTTTGTGATTTGTAATCAGCTGATGACTAGTCCTCCAGGTTAACCAATTTATGATTAACCTTCGTACATTCGTTATAACCGTTTGTGTATTAACATCTACATCAGTTTCTCAAGTCTATGGATGGCTGTTATGGGTAACGAAAAATCTAGTGAATTTACAGTGTGTGGATACAACCAGCGGATACAACCAATGTAATGCCTGAGCACAGTGGTGTTCTTGGATAGCCTAGCTTCCTTCTGATTATGGCCGGTACTTAGATTTTCGCTTGTGTCCGCTGTCTTCTGGTTGTATCCACACACTGTAAATGCACTATAACTTTCGTTCATCATAACAGTCATCCATAAACGTGAAAGATGGATGCAAATGTTAAAACACAAGTGCTTACTACGAATACACGAAGGATGGTTATTAACTATTATAAAAGCGACCATACACAACTCAAGAAGATAGTGGGGGAAGGTGGGGCTGAAGGAGACACTGTGGGGTCCTCGCAGGAAGGGTAACTATTACTCGTCGATTTCTAATAAGGAGGGTGAAGATGGGAACTCTC